AGGTCCTCCGAGTCCACCACGCCCTTCACGAAGTTCAGCCACTCCGGCATCAGCTCCTCGCAGTCGTCCATGATGAAGACACGACGCACGTAGAGCTTGATGTTGTTGCGCTTCTTCTTGCTCTCGAAGAGGTCGAAGGGCGCCCGGCGGGGGACGAAGAGCAGAGCGCGGAACTCCAACTGGCCCTCGACGCTGAAGTGCTTCACCGCAAGGTGGTCCTACCAACAACTTGCAGAAGCTGTTCACGCTACAGACGTTTTTCCTAGCCTTGAACCATGACCTGTAATGAGGGGTGCGGGGTGCATGGCTGGAAATCACTCCCTTCAAATTGAGCTGTCCTCCCAGTCGTTGGACAGCGACTTGTAGAAGGAGGCATACTCCTCGTTGGTGACGTCTTCGGACTTGCGCATCCAGAGAGGCTTGTTCTTGTTCAGCTGCCTAAGGACATGCAAGGAGCCGGCATCAACCCTTTGGGGATGCAGCTTCTTGAAACGTCAGATTGCAGGTTCTGGTTCCAGTATGTTCCATGCCGACACCATGCCAAACATGAATGTAGATTAGATATGCCACCCAAACCAGCCCAAGGAGCCTCAACGCCTATGCCCAGAAGCTTCCAGCAAACCTGCCACCCGCCAAGCGGCTCCCACTCGTGCGAGACCTCCTTCACCTTCCTTGGCTAGGGATAGAGGCGCTTCACGAAATTTATCTAGTGGTTCTTTGGATTGCGCGGTGCCCGACTTACGGATGTGAGGAATGCCTTTCAGAGCCGTTCCCCCTCATCCACCGAGCGGCTTGGTCTTCTTTTTTTTCTCCTCTTTCTCCTTCTCCTTCGTTAAAAGCGACGGCTAAGAAGCTCACGCCACAGCGCCCCGACCTTGAAACCCTCAACCGCCCTAAACTCGCCCGGACGTCTCCTCATCCACTTCCTCGATCTTGGGCTCGTCACCTGTCAGCACGATTCAAAAGTAGATACGCTTACTGAAGTAACAGTACCCGCTTTGCCACCCCTACCCCATCCCCCAGCCGGCACCCTCTTTCTCGTCCTTCTTCTCCTCCTCTTCCTCCTCGGAGTCCTGGGTAACGCCCCAGGCTCAGGTACGGATGCAGGGTCCCTGGCTTGTGGTGATCGGGTGATGTTTGCGTGGGGATCCCGGCTTGTCACCTCGGGCGGTGGCTGTGCCGCGAAGTGGCGGTCACCTCCTTCTCCTTAGACTTCTCCACGTACAGCTCGATGGGGAAGCCGATGAACTCGGAGTGCTTCTTCACCAGGTCCTTCAAGCGCCGCTCCTGCGCAACAAGCCGACGCAAAACACGTGGTCGGCGAAACGAAGGCTTGGAGGTATAGCGGTATAGCGCTTGGGAGTAAGGGTGGGCTGGCATCTTCTCCCTGACTAGACGATCGCATCTGTTCACCGGCAGATGAGACTCGAACTTCAGCGTCCTCCAGGAACTCGGACTGGTCTTCCTTGAGGTAGCAGATAATCTTCGTGCCACGCTTGATCTCGCCGTGCACCAGCTCAGTGTCCTGTCGTGACTTTCCATAAAGATACCACTATACAAGCTACTAGCCATAAATTATCCTAAAGACCTCTGAACCTGCCGCCTGCATGCGCGAACTGCCAGCATCTTGACCTACTTCGGCTTAATTCTTCAGTCATCGCCCAAAACTGAAGTTCCCCAGCTCAAGTGCCCAGGTCCCACAGAAGACCAAAATGACCGGATGCACACCGGCCTTCTGCACGGTGAAGGATCCGCCGGCGCCGCTCTCCCAGATGTACTGCCTCGTAGTATGTGTTTGGAAAGCCCCCAGCCGCGGGCTACGGGAAAATTCAGTCTTTGCCTCTTCTTAGCCCGGAACGGGCTGGACGTTTGCACTGAGAAAGAAGGCTTGCTTGACAAGGCCGAACTATCCGAGACATCAAGCTGCTGCCTCCATGCGAAGCAGCTGCAACACCACCAAACACTGCCAACAGCCCAATCCACGATGCCGAAAAACAGGGGTTCGCACACCTGGCACCTTTCGTCTCGGATGGGAAATCTCCTTGCAGCCTTGTTTGGACGAGCCACTCGTCGTCGTTGTGCTTGCTGACGACACGGACCTTGTCCGAGACGAGGTATGCGCTGTAGAAGCCGACGCCGAACCTGTTGGTGATGGGACTGGGCGAAAGGCAGGGGGCGCACAGGCAGGGCGGAAGAAGTGCAAGAAAAAGATTGGTTGCGGCTTTGCCGAGCAACGGCCTGAACTCCCGTTTAGCTACCCATCGCATCTATGAATCCTATTTGGACAAGAACGACCGTCGACGGAAATCCTTGCATCCCAGAAGCTGGCCGATCATGGAGATGTCGCCGCCGGCCGCCATGGCCTTCCACGGCTCGTGCCGGTGTCTTAGGCACGCAGCTCGGAAACATCGCGACCAGAAACTGCAAAACAAAACAGTTCGGGAGGGCTGTTCCCCAACATCCTTCACAACCCCTCAGGCGTTGCCCCAAGACCCGCTTTCTGCGGGCCTCCATGAAGGCTTTGGTGCCAGACTTGGCCTCAGTACTCAATCGGGGAGAACCAGTCGAGTCTTGCTGTCTTGAGGCATCCAGTTCTCAGAGAAAACCAGACCTCACCCCGAAACATGGGAAAACGCAGAAGAATCGATCGAGCCACGATGGTCCCGAGGTTGTTGATCAACTCCTCAGGAGGCACTTGTGTTCAGACTGCTTCTTTAGCGTGACCTCGACCTGCAAACGACGCAAAAGCACTAGGCGTGACTCTTGTAGAAAGGCCTTCTACGGGTTCTGCAATTACGTGCCACCCAGATCCACACAGGCTTTGCAACCTCCAATTCGCTAAAGTCCGAGGAACGTTCTTGGTCATGCCGATGCCGGAGTCTTCGATGGTCAAAGTCGAATTGGTCTTGTCCGGGATGATCTCAGATGCATAAAGCAGACAAACCGCAGCCACTGAGCGAAGAGTCACAGGCATCGACGCTGCTTTCAAGCCGTACACGGTGCACGCCCAGTCCAACCACACGATTCCGAAACGGGCCCAGGAGCTTTGATGAAGAAGTTGGGCTGCGCCTGCAGTTGCGGAGCTATGCGGAGCTTGCCGACGCATCCTTTCTCAGGACAACTACAGTAGAAGCTAGAAAGTTGGAACATCGTTATCCTCATGCCCTTAAGGTAAAATATAGGGAATCCTAGCACGAATCATCCTAAATCCATGTTCCAACTTTCTAGGGTTCACTATAGCTGCCTGACCTGACAGCTTCTCTGCAAATTCCCGTCAATGCCAACCACTCTCAGCTCCAACTCTTCTCGCGGCTGTTGCTAACGCTCGGTAGACCTACGCGGAAAACCCACGCCCGCACTCCCTGCCTCGATCTTGTCTGGGTCAGTGATCGATTCGTAGCGAATCTTGTCCAGAGCCTGTGTTTGAGATCTTTTGTCTGGGGCTGTGAAATGGTCTACAAGTGAGGAAGCCACCGCCAAGAAATCAATGGCTGCCCAGTCCGACGCAATCACTTGGGGCTCGATTCTGAATCACTGGACTTGTTGCTTCGAGCGGCATCCGAGGCATTGGAGATGAGCTCTCGCAGGAAGATCTCCTTGTTGGAGTAGAAGGTATTGATGATCAAGCCTCGGCAACTAGCAGAAACTGTGACCACAAGCTGCAATGCAAACTGTTTGTCGTGCACATCATGTACGCGGCACGTGCCGCAAGTCTCACCCTCCGAGCATCATCTTCTCTTGAACCCGTAGCCGGGCTACAAAAACTTGTCCATCGTTATAAAGATATGCAGATGAGACATGACGGCAAGCCTACCTCATTGGAACCTGCCGAGAAACTCATCAGCTGCTGGATGTCTGCATTGAATGCGAAAGTCTCCGCCATGATTGTCCTTGCTTCGGTGACCAAAAAGTGCTCGCCCCACGTCCCGCAAAAGCCAAGATGCACGGTATCCTCTTGAACGACAGGTCAATGTCTTAATAACTAAAAAAAGTCCCTCCATCCGCCCCAATTCAAGGACAGCAGTCGTCGGAGCTTTTCGAGCTAGTCAGACGTCCGTGAAAAGCAAAACTTGAGCCGATGGTGCTGCATGTGCTTCGAAGCATGCCTCGGTCTACGAACCCGCCGGACACAGCACACGACCCGCAGACATCTGTGCAATGTCATGGAACCTTCTCTTCGCAGTCGATCCTCTGAATCAGGTTTCTTGCCAGACTCTGCCTGCTGTACAGTCGGCCGAATCTGGAGACGGTCTTGGGGGATCATGCACAAGCGCGCACCAACGGCTGCGGTACGAACTACTGGGTGGCTCAGACATCCTAGTCCTAGTCGACCCTTGTTCTAGAACCCTTAAGGGTTCTTAGGCTTCCTTTAAAGGGCCCGCGAAAGCAACTCTAAGACTCAGCTCAGGGCCTTTCCCACTTTGGTCGATCGCTTCGCCTTCACGCGGAACCTCGGAAGACGACTGGAGGGTTCCTACTACCAGGGCTTGCTTGGAGTTTGAGGTTTAGGGCTTTTAGGCTTTAGGGCTTTTAGGGTCTTTAGGGTTTGGGGTTTAGGGTTTAGGGTTTAGGGCTTTTAGGGCTTCGGCTTTTGGGTTTGGGGTTTAGGGCTGTTAGGGTTTAGGGTGTAGGATTCGAGGTTCGTAGTTTAATGTACCCTAAAACCCTCTTCCAACTGCTGAGGTCCGTATATTACCGAGAGAACCTTGAAAGAAGGCCCATGAGGCGGGTTTCTGATGGGGCTTCAGAGTGCGCTAGGCTTCAGGGATGGCGGCAGGGCTTGCAAGCTTTAGGGTTTATAGGGTCTATAGGGCTTATAGGGTTTAGGGCTTCTAGGGTTTATAGGGTTTAGGGTTTATGGGGTTTAGGGTTTATAGTCTTTAGGATTTAAGCTTTGGTCTCAGTGAAGTCGGATTCTTGTTGGGCATCTGG